CAGTACGGCCGTACTGAAGTTCAAAAACTTCAGTATGGCCGTATTGGTTTCAGTACGGCCGTATTGTAGTTCAAATTGTTCAGTACGGCTGTACTGAACTTCTAGGAGGCCGTATTGAGCTTCAATCCTCCCACATCCTTATTTTAAGCTACTCTAAGACTTATAAACCTATGAATAATCATCCTAGGGTCTTCCAGGGTCTTCCAGGAGTCCTTTCGGCTGACTTTCCCTCGGTCTCTGAGAGTTTTTAAACAAATAAAAGAGTCCAACCATCCTTCGCGAATGCTGAAAGCCCGTTTCGGGCCGGTGGCGACAGGTCTAACCAGTAGCAACAACAAAAACCATCCCCTCCCTTCCAAAACAATGCTGGTCCTAGCAGATATGTACCTCCTCCTATCCAACAGAAGCAACAGAGACAACACGAAGCTCCTGCACCACCAGCTCCTCAACCTTCTACTTCTGAGCCTTCATTAGAGGAGCTGGTCAGGCAGATGACTCTGCAAAACATGCAGTTCCAGAAAGAGACAAGAGCTTCCATTCAGAGTTTGAAAAATCAAATGGGTCAGATGGCTACTCAGCTGAATCAGGCACAGTCTCAAAATTCAGACAAGTTTCCTTCACAGACCCAGGGTCTTCCAGGAGTCCTTTCGGCTGACTTTCCCTCGGTCTCTGAGAGTCTTCGAGTCTTATTTCCGACCTGGACAATTTTAGGGGTCTACACTCCCTTCTGTATACCCTAACTCTAAAGCATCATATAGGGTAGTTTATTTCAAAAAAAACAAAAAACAAAAAAAATATAGCAAAAAAAAAAGCATGCATCATAATCCTTAGCCAAAAACATGATAAAATTTAGGTAGAAAACAAATATCATGCATATTTTAATTTAGCATATACATTCATTAGAAATGGAAGACACATAGTATGCAAAGATTTTTGAGAAAGGAGAACATTCTAAAGTACAAGAATCGTGTGTCCTTATACTAAGGAGGCCTACTAGACTTTAAACTCTCGTCATCCTTTCAAAAGAAGGCAAAGTCTACGTCTTCTCAGACTTCTTCTAATCTAGAAAGATGTCATTCCTCAATTCAAATAGGAGATTATTTGAAACTTCGAAAAGGAGGCACGCGAAAAAAAAGGGAAATTGAAGCAAAAAAAAAAGAGAGAAAAAGAATTTGCTTCAAAAGAACATAGTTTGGGAAGCTAAAGAAAACTCCGCTGATGAATGAGAAATCATGAACCTAGGAAGTTTAAAAAAAAAAAATTGATGATAAGCGCCCTTACACCTCCAATTCGTTATCAAATCACTCTAAACTGCATCTTTCTTCTCTGACTCATCAACCTCGTCAATAAAGAAATTTTTTTTGGCAATCACCAAAATAGTGGTGAACCCGAAGATCC